ATTGTAGTGCATCCCCTCGTAAGACTCCATGGTGGGTGGGGTCAGTGGGCACTGAATCTTTCTCCTTAATTATGGATCCCCCAATCCAAATAAAAAATTTTTAAAAATCTGCTAATCGGTAAACGACCACGCTTAGAAGACTGACCAGCAGTCTCCATCACAAAGTACGCCTGTACCTTGCTTCCTGATCCTGCATACACTGTCTGATAAAGCTTTAGGGCAAATGTCTCCCTTTTTCATTCAGAAGGGCTTAGAGGGGCTTGCTGACTCTCCAAAGTCAGTTAAGAAGCTCCATTCTGGAGACATCTTGGTTGAAACATCCACAGCTAAGCACAGTGAACTCCTCTTGAATTCAAAAGCCATTGGGGATATACCCATTGAGGTTACTCCCCACGCTTCCTTGAATTTGTCACGAGGAGTTATTGTTGAGAAGGACTTGAAGTCTATCCCCGAATCAGAGATCCTTGCTGGTTTCTACAGGCAATGAGTTTCAGCAGTTCGAAGGATCTCCACTCATCAAGATGGAATTATGGTGCCGACCTCAGTTCTGATTTTGACATTTTCATCACCACGTTCACCTGCCGCTGTTAAGGCAGGTTATTTGAATTGTAAGGTACGGCCCTATATTCCCAACTCTCTCTGATGTTTTCAGTGTCAGTGGTTTGGTCACTCAGAGACATCTTGTCGTGGTTCTGTGACAAGTGCTCGTTGTGGTGGCAAGGACCATGATGCCTACGAGTGCAAACTGGACCCTCACTGTGTTAATTGTGGTGGTTCCCACCCCTCTTACTTTAGGTCTGGAGGAGAAAGAGGTACAGCGTTTGAAGACTCTTAATAACATTTCTTATCCTGAGGCTTGGAAGCTATTGTTCCTTACTACATCTCGGACATATGCCACTGCACTACACTCCACTGCTACAGTGGTTCCCACCCCTCTTACTTTAGGTCTTGCCCTAAGTGGGTGGAGGAGAAAGAGGTACAGCGTTTGAAGACTCTTAATAACATTTCTTATCCTGAGGCTCGGAAGCTATTGTTCCCTACTACATCTCGGTCATATGCCACTGCACTACACTCCACTGCTACAGTGGGAGTGCAGAGGACTCCATCCAGTAAAGAAAAACGGCATGGTCATAAACCGAAGGGTTCCCCACCCTGTTCTCCTAAACCTACATAAAAATGGCCACTTTGATACAGTGGAACTGTCGAGGTTTTTGTTCTAATCTCGATGACATTAAGGCCTTGATGGACTCCTATCATCCCGCGTGTCTCTTCTTACAGGAAACATTTCTGAAACCTGCCGATACAGTCACCTTTCGGCAGTTTTCTTTATACTGGAATGACAGGATGTGTGATGGGCGGGTACACGGAGGGGTGGCACTGCTGGTTGACCAGCATGCGCCCTCCTTATCTGTGTCCCTCGATACACCCTTGGAGGCCATAGCCATCCGTGTTTCCTTGGGTTGTGCCATCACTGTTTGTTCTCTCTACTTGTCTCCTGGGGAGACTTATGATCAATCAGTTGCCATCTCCCTTTTTACTTCTGGGAGACCTTAATGGACACAACCCCCTCTGGGGTGGAGCTGATATTGATGGGAGGGGTCGCTCCATAGAGCATATGCTCTCGGATCACAACCTTTCTCTCTTCAATACTGGAACATATACTTATTTTCATGCACCTGGTCAGTCTTTTACTGCCATTGATTTCTGGATTTG